AGTGAGTAAGACGCTGGATCGCTAACCTAAAGGTCGCCTGTTGATTTTCCGGCGTGGTTTCCCCGTGTCACTGGTTCAGAGCGGGGTGGGGGTGACAAGGACAAGTGTCTAGTCGTTTGGATGGGACGAAAAACGACGTCCCGTGTGCGAATTGGCGTGCATGTCAAAGACCCCTTCGCAGTTGGAATTCGGTATAAGAGTAGGCCGTAGCGCTGCTGTCCGGTCCAAAATTCCCTCATAGCACACTGTATGGCGTATGCCCGTCTTCATTAGCCCACTCGGGGCAGAACAGTGTCAGTGGGGAGTTAAGCCACATTTCATTTCATTTCCCTGTAAGGGATACAGGGAAGTAACTCGTGTACTGTAATCGGGTTTCAGACGGACACAGATCACCAAAGCTATTTTTAGTCTTCCTCTCCCTTTTCCTTTTTCCCCCTTTTGCATGGCGATTTTTGTTGACTTTTTGGTGTAGAATCGAGGAAAAGGGTTTGAAAATACATTTTCTGCCAGGTTTTGGTGAATATTCATAATTTTGATGCGGAAGGATACAAGAGTTGAGAGGTTGGTTAGGTTGAAATGTAGGACCTGAAATTGCATGTTTATTTGTCTCTACTTCCAGCTTGTGTATCTCAAGTTTTTCATGAAGAACCTCATACGTGCTTTTGGTCAAGTGGTTGCCACATGTTGCTCCATCTGTGGTAGAAAGCGTTCTACCCAACGAAAATTTGGGAAAAAGTTAGAGCCGGTCTAAGATACGAGAATTAACATTGGAGTCAATGGGGAAATCTTTAGTGATCTGTGGCCAGACAACATTGTCCTTATTCCACACTATAACCTTATCTAATCCTTACATCAGCAAGTGAGGTCAATTGAACCTTTCTATAGCAGCGGGACGATTTACCCAATACCACCCAATACCACCCGAATATCACCACATACTACCCAATACTACAACATAGTGGTGCCAAATGAGCATATTACTTGATTTTTTTCAAAAATAGTGAGATGTATCGTGGGAAATGTACTTCAAATGTGATTACGGATGTCTGGCTGTTCCATATCACCCAAATAATAACCCAATACTACCAAATACTACCCAATATTATAAAATACAAACCTAATATCGTCAATTAGCAGCACATCATTATAATAAATAATTGCAACGAATATTCGATAATTTACAGAAAATTAAAATATTTACGCAGTTATCTCCCTTTACAACTGACAAATAGATTTTAGATTGCTACTCAGATTAATCACCTTGTTGGGCTTTGCAGTTTCTTTCCAAGACAAAAAGAAGTTTTAAAAGAAGTTAACAAACATTTAAAAATGCATTAAAATAAAATCAGTTTATAAAATAAACAGTCAAGCATCCAAATAAAAGAGTATTTTAGAGGTTGATTTAAAAATGTTCATTTAACGGTCTCGTGGTCGTTTGTTCGTCCCTAAAGTTTTACATCCACTTCCACTTAAGGTGATATCGTAGACAAGTCTCGTGGCCTACTCAAAAGTCTTCTTATATTATAATTATTTCTTCATCCTGGTGATTTTAGTATGATAACACGCTGTCTACAAGTGCACGCGGTCCTGTAAAAATCATTTGGGTATAATATGTCAGGAAAGCATACGCATTTATCTTTATATCTATCTTTTAATGACTTATTAACGCGTCTTCTTTGTCTTTTAAATGATTCCGGTTTCAAACCAGTCGCCTTTGAAAAAAAAAAATTTTGTCAAAATTTCACCGCATCTTCGAATATCGACACTATTGAACAAATTCTAAGTATTCTACGGTATATACCCACAGGTGACGGTGTCGCGGCGATATCATTACCACCTAAATGAATAGACACGGTCACCAGTTTCCTCCCACATATGCATATGTTTATATTTATTTTTTCATGTCAACGATTAAGTTATTGCATATATAGACGATGTTTTAGTTTAAAATTAACGAAATTGTACATGTTTATTACAATGCACATGTTTATTATAAATGTGTAATGCTCTACTCGTATATATATTCCACCTGAATTTACAATTAATCAATGGGGTTAAGATTGTTGATTGGGTAATCAAGTTCTGGTTTATTTATGTTATCAGTATGGAAGTAACATACTAGTAAACAATATGTAAACTATCTTTTGTAAATCTCACCGATCACCGAAACGAATTTCATACCTTTTATCATTCGGTCTCTAAATCATGAATAACAAGCCAACAGTGAGGCTGATGTCCCCGCCGAAAACCCGAAATAAATAGATGACACATCACTCTCTATCAGATAGAATCAAAGTCAAAGAATTGCTTAGCTCTGCTTAACTTTAGCGGGAAATGTTAATCATTGAACTCACCTAATGAACATCTACATCAGGTTTAAACATTCTACCTCAATTAAAAGTAGAGTTGTTATGTTCCAAAGTCTTGACCAATCAAATTGCTTATCGCTTCTTAGCCTAAGCAGAAAATTCTCGTCAAACTTAGCCAAGGTATGAATCTGTGCGCGGAGTTTCATAGCCCTCAATTAATTATAACAAAAGTTATCGTGCCCAAAAGCATCAACCAATCCAATTGCTTATCTCTGCTTACCCTAATCAGACAATGTTTATCATCGAACTCCATCAAGGCATTCACCATATGAACGCCTACACCAAGTTTGAACACTTCTACCTCAATTAGAAGGGGAGTATTTGTGTTTCAAAGTCTCTGCATACCCTCGGAAGAAAATGTTCATTGTCGAACTTAGTCAAGGTGTTGATGTGATGAAACTATACTAAAGTTATCGTGTCCCAAAGCATCAACCAATCAAATTGCATATCGCTGCTTACCCTTAGCAGAAAATCCTCATCTTCGAACTCCATCAAGGCATTTACCTAATGAACACCTACATCGAGTGTGAATATTGTTGCTCATTTAGGAGAGTTGTTGTGTTCCAAAGTCTCGACCAATCAAATTGCTTACCCTGAGCAGAAAATGTTCATTATCGAACTTAGTCAAGGTATTGATGCAATGAAACTATACACCAAATTTCATCACTCTCACTTATAAGAATTAAAGGTATTGTGTCCCAAAGCATCAAACAATCAAATTACTTATATCTGCTTACCCTAAGCAGACATCGACCTAATAAACACCTACACCAAGTTTGAACATTCTACCTCAATTAGAAGGAGAGTGTGATGCACAGATAGACGGCCGGGCGGACAGTCAGACAGACAGACGGGCGAACCCATTTTAATAAGAGAGAGAGTGTGTGTGGGGGGGGCGTGTGTGGGGGGTGCGTGTGTGGGTGGGTGTGTGTGTGCGTGTGTGTGTGAGAGAGGGGGGGGGGGGGCGTGGGACAGTTGTTCGACTGGGTGAGTGGGGTTTGCGTGCTCTGCTAATTTTCTATTTCAAATCGTGATTAAGGAGCAAACTATTGTTCGTTGGAAAATGGTATTGCTAGTAGAGAACAGTGTATACTAGCCTTTTAAAGGTGTCGGGTACGGTTCCGAAAACGGAACGGTTATTTTTTTTTTTTTTTTATATTTTGTTTACAGTGTAGTACACAGGGAAAACATAAGCGTTCAGTGCCGAGAACCGTTTCAATTTGAACCACCTAGTTAGCTGGTCTCGGGACGGTTCTCAGTAGGACACGGTTAAATTTTCGTAATGTAAACGCTATCCGGTCTGGGAACGGTTCTCGGTACGGATTATTGCGCATGCGTCAAATGAACCTTGGTCTTTTTTCCCACGTAACTAAATCATCCACCATAATTGTTTTCATCCTGGTAATTTGCATAGGGACTGAAATTAACTTTTCTGTAAAGGCTTTAAAATTTAACGCACCTTCAACGGTTCCGGGACCGGTTCTTGTAGACTAATGTAAACGGGTCATTTTCTGGAAATTTATCGCGGCTTGGAACGGTTCTGAGAACTGGACGCTTATCGCGGCCAAGTGTACACGCGACTTTATATTGGCTTAATTATTAATATTTTTTTGTATTTCGTGTAGGAATGTTTTCTATCTAACCCTTAGGAAAGACATACTAGATCCAACTATCACATATATAGTTGGGTGGTGATGGGCGGGGTCGTTGAGTCAAGAGGCGTTGTTTCGATTCCAAGCTTGCACGTGTCAATGCCAACAGTTTTCTCTGGGTCCTCCGGTTCCCTCCCACTTAAAACCCACCACTCAACAATTAACATGTAAACACCATAATATATGGTATACAGATTTTCACAGATCTTTTTAAAGTTGGTGGTCATGAGAGGACGAACTCTGTAGATACGGTTTAATGTTTCGTCTTTTAGAGACCTCCATACGAGTAAGATATATATATGCGACAGTTTTCTTCGAATCTACTTTGATTTCCATCTGGCACGTGTTCTTCGTTATGCGTACGCCAATACAAAGATGGATCTGAAAAAACTAGACACGCTACATTACTCAGCACCTTGGCACCACCCCTGCCTAGTGAAGGTCCGGCTGAGACGGTCGGGCGACGACACCTCATTCTAAAAAGAAAATTGCTTTAATTCATCCGACTTTTGTTGCTGACAATATTAGGCATTCTTAGTGTAATGCAATATGACAATACATACACCCATTATTTTCCTATACTGTTGTAAATCGTGTTATATAATCGTACTTGGGGTATATTTATTGTATTTACCGCCAAACTTCTAAATAGTTCAAATTCTCCACATAATATATTGTTCTCCTTCTTAGAAGTTAGAATGTGTTGTCACTGGACAAACATTAGACATTTAACACAGCGGATGTTAGGAAGAAAGTTTGAGAAAAGAAAAATCACATCACAAAAAAAAACATCGCGAACAAAGGTGTGTCGTATGAAAACATGAAAGGGGCCGAATGAGAACAACCATGTTACTAAAATTAAAGCATATGTTATAACCCCGCCATTACTGTATATTTCAACCCATCAAGGTTACAGGTTTGAGCACTTGGCACGAAATGTGATCGCAATTGAGATAGAATAGAAGCTATGAGGAGATTCCGCGCGCCAAAATTACTGAGAGGGGGCGAATACATTAGCCCACATTAACGAGTGGGAAGAGAGAGTATAAGCTAGTATCAGTGTGGTTACAGTACATGTGTGTGTATACTATATATATTATAAAAAGCCAACAATTTAGTATTCTCTGTGGACGTTCTATTTCGTCGACCCAGCGGTTTTGGTGTTTATAACTGTAAATCAGGATTACCATTTACATCTTTCAGGTTAGATGATGTCATTTTATCTATACTGTCTTATATGACTATGTTTTATCTATTTTTGCTACAAAAAAGTTTTGATGAGTAAATCTTTCGTTAACCGGTGTGAAGCCAGTGATAACGTAAGTAAATCAGGGTGTCTTTTTTAATTAGGATGCATATTTAAATATTACTTAGCTGTATATTGTAATTCTGATATACCAATTAAAATTCAATATTCAGTGTATTAAAACCAAAAGGTATAGTAGACTGTATACTATTAGAAAGTGAACATCGACCTTGACCTGGGTAGAAAATGATTTTTATGTGCCACCGTAGTATTTTACTTCTTCATCTTTTTAAATATTTTAAAAACTATAAATTTCAATTAGGTTTTAGATTTTGCTCAAAATTGAAGGATGTTTGAAATAAGAAAAAAATGTTAAGTCAAACGAGGGTTTGTGATTCAAGGCAGCTTCCCACATTTCAGTGAATTATTTGGTTGGAGCAAGTTTGTCTCGTACTTAAAAGACACCTTTTATATAGTTAAAATATCAAGACGATTAATTTAGGACGAAAGCCACTGACAAAATTTCCCCGTCTTATTACACGCAGAGAATGTTATTCTTACCGAAATATTTTGTTGACGAAACGTCCAACTCCGTTCCTTTCATTTATTTTAGGAAATGATGAATAGTGTTGGGTTTGTATAGGTAAAAATAGTGTGTACATGTATAATATGCGAGGTGTATCTATAATAAACTGACATGAGTAATGATAGTATCATGTGGAATGGTGTTTACATGTATAATTATGTAACGATGATGGTGAGCTGCAAATGGAAACCGGTTGATGACTTTTTATATATGTTTCATTTATTTAGTAATATATGCTGTCTTAAAGGAGCTAAATCTCTATTCATAGGTACCTAGAAATGGGCACGCATGGGTGCATATAAACTGATTTACATTCAATCGTTTCCGTTTTTACTCTAATTTCAAATCAGTTATGTTCGGCGAAATACGCGAACGAAGAGTCCAAATTAAATGGTAGTCTTTGGAGTCTGGTTATTCACGTCTACACAGGTAGTATTCTCTTCTGTAGGATATGTTTAGCCTCGTTCATCAAGTCGATTCATTACAAATAGGGACTAAGTTATTTTTATTGCTGTTGTCCCTCGTGCTGTGCTGAGGAGACGACTATTTTAAAGGGGCAATTGAGGTTCCACCTATTATTTATTGAATTTCATCTGTCATATATTCTTTAACCTTGTCTCCGATGTGCATATTGATTAATCTCTGTTTTTCGTACGTTTAAGCCAACACATTTGTCAGTAAAGCTGGTGCTGTCTCTGACAAGTGGATACCGGGTTCTACTCTGACCACACCAGGGCGTTCTAGTAAAGAGTCTTTATAAACGTTCAAGAACCCCTTCGTCTATCTTTAAGTTTTATGGTTAGTTTCGATTTCTCAAAAATCAGTTTTAAATGCACGAGAGAGAGAGAGACAGAGAAATGGGGTTTAACGTCCACTCGACACAAACTAGTCATTTCGGGACTAACATAATATGGTTTAATTTTATTTCAATAATTCGCTTGCGCGTAGGGGTCTTTAGCAGTGGGAGGAAACTGGAGGGTCCAGAGAAAACCCACGAGGTTGGACAGGCGACCCTACTGGAAATCACGCCAGTTGACTCAATGACACGCCTCATGATACAGCTCGTACTGGCTAACCATTCGGCCATCCAACCCTCCATTAAATGCACGAAGTGTATTAACATACCTTCAAAAAATATTTGGAAAAACTAATATCTAAGAAGCTAATATGAACCAGTTTTGAATTTTTATTTATAAAATATAATTTATTCATATTATTTCTGTCGCGCTGTGTGTTCTGTGGTTATAAATGTCAGCTTGTACAATAGACTCACATTGTTAATGGTCTTTCATTTTGATACATTCTTGTATCTACATTGAAACCTATTGTACATCTACCTTTGATGTAAGGTACATGTGAAAAGTATGAAGTTCTTATTAGTCTCACTCCGCTTCATTATAGTCACTCTGTAAATAACCTACACAAAATTGACTACCAGAATCAACACTGCCATAACCACGTCACGATCGATTCATTTCGTCAGGTCAGAAAAGGTCACCGGACGTGGCCCAATTGTATTTACAGTCCAAACCTCGTCCACTAGTCCTCTATTGATTTCCATAATAAAGCTAAGTTTTACATCGATTTTGACAAAGTGGTGTTGCCGCAAAACACCTGCAGATTCAAATGTAATGACTGTATACGACTGTTTGCCTAATAGATGAATAGAGTTTGATGAATAGGTGTATCGTTGAATAAAATAAAATCAATAAAAATGGAGGAGGGCGCCTTTACGCGTTCTTGGCACGCGTTGTTGTCATTTTCAACGCTACATGCGTGTGTTTCAAACTTCAATAAAACCGTATTAAAGTGTACAAGCTTTAATTTAACGGTTTCACTCCAATGTAATAGCGTATTATAGTTTGGATAGAGTAGGTTTGTGCATTTTTGAGGGATTTACAGAGTTTTAAACTAACTCTTTTACAATCAACTTTAACTAAGGGATTTAACGAAGTCGTTATAGTTGGTGTATGTCAAACCTCTAGCAGCCGGCAGGTAAAACGTCTTATTTGTTAAATTTAGAGTGTTCAGCTAATCGGCTTTGTTTATAAACCAAGTATAAGTGTGTTTGAATGACTTTGAAAGGCCATCACTTTTTATGGTCACATTATGCAGATATATTGAAAAGAAAACTTTATTTTTCTTTAACAAAATATGATCCTTACGACAGATATAAGAGAAAGAAGAAGAACCTATATTATATGAAAACCTTTCAAGGTTACAAATAATTATGTATACATGTATTTAGAAATAGGTGGCCGCATAAACATGTGTTGTTAATGGGTAATTGTAAAAGACAGTGTTTCCTCAATAAGTAATACTGTTGACAGTACCTAACGTATTTAGCTACCTACTTTTCTTTGTGTAGAACTGACATAAAAATGCGAGAAATGCTTTGGTTACTTTTGTAGTGCGATAACCTACTTAGTCAAACATATTTAAGTGAAAGCTGTCAGGTCTGTTGAGTTGGGTGGGGATGGGAAAAGTCACTCGTTTTATTGAGTTGAACAAATAATCATCATGATGTGACAATTATCAAACAAATAAATGTTCAAATAGCATATTATGAAACTCTTTTTTCGAATTAACAATCAATTTGGAGTGGCTTTCTTCTTTACTAAAAAAAACCCAAAAAAGGCCAGAACGTAGAAACAAATATGACTGGGTTGATGAAAAACATAAGGAACTATCTAAAAGATAGGTTAGAACCTCGGGATGTTTGAATCCCGGTTCCCACTTGTCAGGGTGGCGCATGTTGGGCTAACGAGTAAAGTGTTGCCTGTCGTTCAGGTGGGACGAAAACCTACCCGTGTACACATTAGCGTGAACACACCGAAACAACCCATGACAGTTAGAATTCGATGGATATCACGGCCATAGAAAGAAAGACAACCGAATGTTAGTCTCGAAATGTATGGACGGGTATCGCTGCCAATATTAAATGCTCTGCTACAATGTCTTTTCCACTGATTATATGTAAAAAGTACAATGTACAAAGTCCTAATACCGGTAATGATAAAGTCAAAATACCTCTTGGTAAGAGTTAAATGTAAAACGTCAAATGTTAAGTGTTAAATGACAAATGTTTTGTTGGAAAATGCTTTTTTTGACGTGTCTACATGTTACATTTCTCTCATTACATTTTACATTTTCGCTCTGCCACATCCCATTTGTCATTCACGCTTTCTACATAACAACTTTCGCACAGCATCATCTTTCATATGCAAATGTAGGATATCGCGTGACTTATCAACATATACGGAAACCTGGCACACTATAATCCAGAACAAGGATAATCACGACACCATTACAGGAAATCAGCCTAGCACACAATACAAATTTAATTAACTTGACACTTTGGATAGTACTTTACCATGATTACGGGGGGTGGGGTGGGGGTTGTGCAATGTTCAAATACGAAATTCCAGGTATCATGTTACATATTACTGAAAAGCACGTTCATTTCTGTTTGTAAATATATAAATATTTTTCTGGTACAATCGTATTTTCATAATTCAAATCCAATAAATATCACACTATTAAAGGGGTATTCAAATAAAAATACTGGTCTAAATACGAAATTCCAGATACCATGTTACGTACCACCGATTGCTCTTTTCAAATATGCAAATAATTTTCTGGCACATTCATATTTGCTTAACTTTACAAAATAAGATTAAAGTTGAAGTGACAGAAGGGTGGGTGGGGGACTAAACTAAACTAAAACAAAGATATGGGGCTTAATCAAACATTCTGTATGTCCATACTAAAAAATATATAGCCATTCCTCTCTTTATTAAACATATCATTTATTTGTTGGACACAATGCTTATATATTGTTTTTTTTTTTTAATGGATCAAAGTTAATTAGACTGTACTCAACTCTGTTCATAGAGAGACAGGAAAGAGTGGGGGTGTTTAAAATATCAAAATACGGGTATTAATACGAAATTCTAGTTATTGTGTTATAAAGTACTGGAAAATATGTTTTTTGGCTGTTTGAATCTATCAATTATTTCCTGGCACATTCATGATTACGCATGGTCGTTTAGAAAGTTTCTTACGGTGTCCCAGCTTGATTTACTGTTTTCGTGCGGTGAATATACTTATAGTGTGCCGCGTTTCCGTATATGTTAATAAGTCACGTGATATCCTACATTTGCATATGAAAGTTGATGATTTGCGAAATTTGCTATGTAGAAAGCGTGAATGACAAATGGGATGTGGCAAAGCGCAAATGTGAAATGTAATGAAAGAAATGTAAAATGTAGACACGTCAAAAAAAGCATTTTCCCACAAAACATATGTCATTTAACACTTAACATTTGACGTTTTACATTTAACTCTTGCCTTTTGACTTTATCAATATCGGTATTAGGACTTTGTACATTGTACTATTTACATATAATCAATGGAAACGACATTGTCGCGGAGCATTTAATATTGGCAGCGATACCCTTCCATAGAAATGACCCAAGTATTTCATTCAATCACTTATATAAAAAGAAGAAGCAACTTGATGGCATAAAAAGTCATACAAGTTTGTACGCAGAGCAATTATCCGTAACGATAATAATAAAGGTAGGGCATGCAGATATTCACACATACCTCTCGTCATTTAAAGTAAAATACAACACTTAATGTCTAATGCAACACTTAATGTAAAATGCACCACACGGTGTAATGTACAATAATGTAAAATACAACACTTACAAAAGAGAAAATTGTAAAAAAACTAAACTGCACACGTCATAATGTGTATAGTCTAGTATCCATAAACACTGTTACAAGGACATAAAGATAGTTAAAGGGACATAAAGATAAAACTTAGAAATGATGAACATGAGAAAGCCCTTACACATTTCATAGTTCTACATAGTTTAAAGTTGGTTCTTTAAATAAGATTCGTCTAAAAAGTTATTTTCTTCTTTCTGCGTTGTTTTTGTGGGTTGTTAGAAAATGAATTTCACCCTAAGGCATGATACTAATAAATGGAATCAAATGAACGTAAACAATTGCTCGTCAATAGTGACATCGTACAAAATTAATTCTCCATTAATAAGAAATGAGAACGTTCATTGTAATAAAATACATTGCCTGGTACAAAGTACAATATCTGTTATATATAGCGTAACAGAATGATTATCGAATTTTTGAAATGAATAGTATAATGACAGTTTTTACGGTTATTTGAAGAATAGATGGTTTGGTAATGTGATCAATTTTATTTAAAAAGCCAAACACGTGCAGCTTTTTTTAGCAAGCAGCCATGGACAATGATTACTCCCTGTGGACCAGCCAGCGAACGAAATATGAGTCTGGTACAGTGCGCGTGTTACGGTTCAGGGGTTACTGTTTTTATCTAATGCCATCAAATATATAATCCAATTCTCTTGTTTATTGGGAATGTTGGCTGGTTTGGGCTATGTTGATGTTTGTTCTATGGCCATTTGATACTATCTTGGCTAGATGGGGTCTTGTATAGAACCTGCCAAACAAGATATATACAGAAATACAACCTAGTCAACACAATCCACGGTTATTTCAGTAATGGAGGACCTACTAGAGTGTATTTACCTCGCTGCATGCCGATCATACCCAACTTTCATCTATGTACGAGTAGTTTGGACAAACTAGATATTATTTAGCAGTGAATATACCACGTACTATAGTAAATAATACCCATAGTAGTTAAATACATGCGACCACTTCTTGTTGGTACTGTCGATGACAGTGATAATGTTTTAAAAGGGGAATTTGATTTATTAGAAAGCTGGCCATTTAAGCGAAACATTTTCTGTGAAATTCATTGACATAAAACAGTTTAAATGGGTATATGTTTTTTGTTTTGGACTTTAGAATTATACTAAACATTAGTTTTGAAAACGGGTTTGGAGGAGGAGGGCGACCTAAAGATTTTTCTAAAATTATTATGAAGAGCGCTACTCTGGTTACCATTGTTGCAACACCGTTCACTTTCGGATGCGTAACAGTACCTGCATTGACTGTGCACCAAGACTTAAAAGTATCTGAATTTAGAAATATGACTAAATTATTGTACAGGCAAAACAATAAATGAATGAAATGGAGTTTAACGACCTTCTTTTTTGCACCAATGGGGATAATAAAGACGTGCATACATCATGCAGTATGCTAAGAAGGACATATTGCCAGGACAGTAATTGAATTCCAACTGTCAAGGGTTCATTTACGTGCTCGCCAACATGTATATGGGACCTCGGTTTTTCGTCCCATGCGAGCGAGTGGGCACAGTTTTACTTGCCAGACTATCACATGGACCACACCGGGACCACCTGGTTAGTGAGCCAGCGCCTACTCACTGAGCCACCATGGGTTCAGATATAGTATATACGACCATATAAAATATTGAATTGTTGGTTTGTCCCTTTTATAAATAAATAAGATATAGATACTATTATGTCCCTTTGAATATATGACTGGATCAACCATTTACTTGCGATATTTAGTACCATTCCACTACATGATGCACAAGAATTGCAACTTTGTGACCTTTTCAAAAGCCTGATTTTGGTAATGGTCTATGACGATGTGCTATATAATAATGCCGACTTTAGTCGCAAAGATGTAGGAAAGCAATCTGGTTACGTTTACAGCAGCAGATATGTGTCTAAAATTCAACTTGAGTAACTTTTTCGACGTGCTAGTAGGGTTGTATTTAAATACTCTAATGTCCATGTATCTCATTAGGGTACATTGAGATTTTACATATAGTGCTTAAGGTATTAAGTTTGTTTAGACTTATTATCCAGACAATATCTAAGGAAAACGCAGGAGCATGCACTTGTTGGGTTGTTATGCTATCTATTCGGTTACTATTTTCAACTTTAGATTGGTGGGGAATTGATGTTTTGGGTACTGGTGGTAACTTAGTATAACAAATCAAGTTTAATAAAATAGACTAGTGATCGCATCTCAGTTAATTGCACTCTATCAATGAATGCACCAGACCACATGTACCTTCAGCCCATTAAGGGTTGTCGACATTTACTTATTATCCGAATAATTTAATTTCTCGCGTAGCTAATGCGTGTATATTAAGCTACCAACCAACTTGGAATTGGATTCTTTGATGTAATTAAAATTATATTATATTTTCACTTCGTTTATCATTTAAAGTAGAGCAAAGAGTAACTGACATCTGTTTTTAATTGATTGGCTTTTTCTCCATTTTCCTACCGAACACCTTTGATTATTCTGGAGATATATTATGAACATATCAAGCTGTGTGATGTTCTAATCACATGGATATTATAGTATTATCAATAATTAATATGATTGGTCCAAATTGACTTCTTCCGACTTCCACCCAATTATAACCTGACTCATTTATTTTACAGATTTTTACCGCAGTAAATAATTTTGATTGATCCCCGAGGTTACGACCTTATTCATACAATACTGCTTCACGGTAAGTATCTTTTTATACAGATTCTGATGGAGTTAGCCCGATATAGTTGAACCCTATCGTTTTACATATAAGATCGTTGTTCGGTCCATGATCCGATCGTAAAGCACGTATTCCGAGAATCGTTGCCAAACTATATTTTAACTTAATGTACTTGATGTTTTTATATCCTTTTATAAATTAATCGATGAGAATGACAATGGTGTACTATCACTGGGGTTCTTCAGTTGCTATTTTTATAATTTAAAATTTTGACATCTCTTTAAATACTGGATTGGGAAGTCTTGTGTTTTGTTCCACGGCGTAGCGACTATATCAATTGACATCCAATCATAGGACATCGATGATGTTATCATAAATTCATACTAAATACCAATCACTCGGTTGAGGCTTAAACGATCATAAATTCGTGTATTTGTCTTCGTGTTGTTGCTAAGGCAACCCCTTATATCAGATGAATATGGCGGGAAAAATAGGTTATGGTTTCGTGAATTGGGGAAGTGCTTGAGCCCTTAACTCTCCTTGATTAACTGCTGTCGTTTTCTTTCCTAAGAAATACTGTCATTAATTCAAAGAGATCAAGACTCTTTCAGTGTTTATCATCGTTAGTTAATTCTTCACTGAGTCGTGTTGATTAAAGCCGATATTTAATCACATGTTCACTGCATATTGGCATGTTATGGTGCATTAACTTTGATTGTGTAGTGCACTTTAACTCATTTCATAGTCTTGTGGTTTTCGGTAGCACTGTGTATTTTAAATTCTGATAATCTTTACAAGTTATGACTATGTCTAGTTGATGCTAAAGTATTTAGATTAGCGAAGTGGCTACAACATATACCACTTTAATAATATCATGGTCCATTTATAATAGGCAATCGTCGTATTTATACAGCTTAAATCTATAATCAATCTGAGGCAAATTGCTATTTAATGTAGAACCTGTATTCATAAAAAAGCCATACCGGGAGTCCATCCGAAATAGAGGAGATATGCATATAGTTGCATTGTAGTAGTATGTATTTCCAATTATTAAATCGAAGTGTGATAAATTATTGCTAGTCTGGAAGTGAAATGCATTGGAAATAAATATGAACAGTTAATAAACTATAATTCTTGTAAACGCTCTATAGGTCCGAGTTCTTTTAGATTTATGTTCATCAAACTTGTTATGATTCTCCAAGATGTCTCAGTTCTCTCTCAAAACTTTTAGGGGCACTGAATTTGGAAAGAGAGAAAATCAATAAATAAGTAGTAACAATGATTGAAAAAATACCACCTCCACCTCAGACAATATCCCAATGTTGTAACATTCTAAATAGTTTTTTTTCAACAAAGAACTTGCTACGTAACATTCTGGGTGCGCAATACTTGCCTTGCTCTGGGTGTTGGTATCCCACGCTACGCCCATTACTGTCCTACTGCAAATGTAAGAGTCCCAATCATTTAATTTTTTAAAAACTTGTTTCAATAAGCTTTGTATCTAAATCCCGGATTACCAAACGATTGTGTTCCTAATTATTGCCTCTAACCCCAAATTTTGGGGAGTCACAGATATTCGTTTGTTGTTACCTGGCAATGCATGGGTTAATTAGAAGGTAGATAATTTATATGTATATTATGTATAGTTACTTATCTTTTGATATACACGTGCCGGTTACCGATATTCTCAGCAGGTAATATATACGCCATTGATAAAGAACGACCTAGAATAAAAGTCCAATACTAGTACAAGGTCTATAGACTACACTCTTACCAACTAAAACCCAAGTATAAACTCTTTGGTTAGGTTACCAATTTATCTTTCAATGTAAAATGTCTACAATTTTGTGATATTCTTGGTGCTTATTTGAATAAGTACCAGTATCTCAAAACTAGCAATCCTCAAAAATATCTCCCAACTTGGTATTGCCACAATGGAACTGAGCATGAGCAAATTCATTGCTAAGTATATCTTTTCAATGTGCGCCCTCACATTATGTATCAAAATTATTGACGTTTATAAGTTTAATAGTATAATGATGTAATCAATGATATAAAATGACCATCTATCTCTAAATATGGCGGCTATAGATAGTACATCCTAAACACTTCACGTCAGTCATTATTTATATTTGACTATGAAGGTTATACTGGATGAATCAATATTGATATTACACGATATTTACATTATAACTGTCATCAACGGCCACCGACAAGTCTAGAATTAACTGTTTAATTTGTCATGAATCTGAAATATTCTGTCGAACAGATAAAATAAATGATTTACGGATGTGATCATTTTTTGAAATTAATACTTCACTCGTGAAGGCCCAGGACTGCACAACTCCCCCGATACATTCACACTTGTTTTGATTTACCTTTGTTGTTTATTGTTTGAAATGTCTGTGTATATTGTGTATCTTGCACTTTTTTAAAAAGTTACTTAACATCAGTCACAACTTTATATTTGAATGTACATGTTGTTAAACCCAAATAATTTGCGATCATAATATACTGTTAACAGACTAACTATTCAACATATTCTTCAGGTCAATATCTATTTATTTTGTCTTATTTTTCAGATGGTGCCTGTGAGATATATGATTCTCGTATCTGGTATGGTAATGGCGTATGTATCGGCGGACGATATGTGTATTCCTGAATGCAAGTGTTCCGATGATATAGATGGAAATTTTCATATTAATTGTGGCAAACTTAAAAGCGTGGAAATTCCTAGAGATCTTTCGAAATTTGCAGGTTTTGAGAAATCAATCCGTTTGTCGCTCAGTGATAATGCTTTCAAACGAGTATCAAAAGGAGATTTCCCGCCTAATCTGCCGATCGTTGCTTTGGATCTTTCACGTAACCGTGGTTTGACCATTACTGATGATGCTTTTGCGAACATCAAAAATCTCCGTTCTTTAAATTTGGATGACCTCCGTTTACCTTTTACTTCGAATCTTAATTTCTTGAAAGGGATGTCTAAGCTACAAAGCTTATCTTTGAACAAAAATTATCAGTTTGGTGATGGTCTTATTCCTGCTTCAATGATATCAGGTCTTGGTTTGAACAACTTAAACGATTTGCAGTTCCAGGAATGTTATATAAAAGGAATTGAAGACGGTGCCTTTTCTGGGATAAATATTAACGGGCATCTTGATCTAAGTGCCAACCAATTAGATCACATACCAGATGAATTGAAAACACTTAATAATGTTACTAGTTTAGATATATCTCAGAATAGTCTCCGAAAACTCCCAAGTAATAGTTTTTCGGGAATGGGGGAGTTGCGAAAGCTTTCCATCAGCAACAACTACATCAGTGAGAAAGATATTCTTGTCGATTCTTTTAATGGATTACAGTTGCAAGAGCTAAGTCTGGAGCAGTCTGTACTGAACACCATACCCACTCCCGCCCTAAAAGGTCTCTCAAAACTGAAGGTACTCCGATTAAAGAATAATCCCATCAAGTCTATTCCAGAAGGGGCTTTCAATGGATCCTATTGCCTGGAGGAATTGGATATAAGCAATGCATTGGTCGAAATTGGCATGGTACATTTAGAAGACCAAATGGATTGTATTCAGAAGTTATATCTGAATAACATGCAAATCAGAGAAGTTCCAAAGTTTATCAAAAACTTCAAGATTTTGGACTTTCTGTCGCTCGACGGAAATTCAATCATTACAATCAAAAAAGGAGATTTTGTGGATACGACCGTTTCCAAAGTGTCATTAGCGATGAATCCATTGACTGAAATCCAAGCAGGGGCATTTGCAGAATTTCCCCAATCCGTAACCCTTGTTTTATCAAAAACTCAAATTACAAACTTAAATTTTGTCCGTGATTATCCTTATGGCACCATTCGAGAAATCGAACTTAAAGAAATAACGCCGATTTGTGATTGTGATTTGGCCTTTGCTGAATACAGAACTTACGTTATTCATGGTAATTGCAATTTAAATGGAACCCGAGTAGTAGTCATCAGTTCCGAGGATTTTATGAAAGTAACATCCGATTGCTGGCCAGGGGGACGGAGCCCAATGAAGAAAGATGTATGGGCAGTAAAAGGTAACAACAGTGCAAATTCCGTAGAGTCTTCAAACATAGGGAAGTTGGTCCTGATTAGTTTAGCTTTAATCCTGGGAGGACGTTTTAAAAACTTAGTGTAAAATCATCGAACTACATCATGTTACTCATATCACGAGTTGAATATCACATAAAAGATAGACACACAAATCTGCTGGAAGTGTCTTCTAATAATAGTGCCAGAAGAAGAGGTATCAGGCCCGTGTTCATGAAGCATTCTCAGATTTAAGTTAAAAGTTTACTCAAAATTGTTCGCCTTATAACTAAAATATAGCACTTTATAAAACTTTTGTTGTTTCAATGTATCAAATAGATCAATAAGAACCTATGTGGGAAGTTTTGTGTTTCAAAGATATTTCTCATAAACCGTGATTGAAAGTTAAGTAAATTCTTAGCTTAAAGTCTGAGAATTCGTCGTGAACTCAGGGCCTGGTGTTTATTTGTTGATATTAGCAGGCACTGTGCATTTATTACTTTAAATCGAACATTTTTAAGGCTAGATCTTTTAGGCCTGGCCCAGTGGATCTACACTCCTCGACCATTTCATTTGGTTTGCATTCGGGGTACTAACCATAACCGTATGTTATCTTCATAATGTAGGCCTGTAGTAAAGTTATCCAATTTTGCGGATACGCCCTCGGTTTGAATTGTTGTGTAGACAAGTGGACAAATATGCCCAGGTATGGTATTGCTATATTCAATAACGAAGATTAACAACTGCCTTAGTTAGTCCCAGCCATTTTTCTTTTTACCTTTTTTTTTTTGAAGTAGGGGTATCTGAAAATTATGGTAAATGGAAATGTGTAATATTTGCTCTGCTAAGACGTAAATTGCGTCTTTATGGCAATTATATGGTGCGGTTAAATTTGTGACGTTTATTTTATAAATGGTTTCATGTTATTTTTCTTCCTAATCGCTTTAGTGCTAATTATATTTTATATTTTATCATGTTCAAATTAAATCACCAGTGGGCCTATGTAGTCATTCTTTAAAGTACGTCTATGTGGTGGCAATCTTAAATACTCTTCTTGTGGGGATTTCTCAGAAATGACTTTTTATATTAAAACCTAACGGGAGTGCTTCATGTGCGGATTTTACACTAGGCTGTAATCACCGATAATTATTGTAATTATTGACGTGGTGCTAAATTGACACTATGTCCATAGAGTGTGTCCAAAATTAACATTATTGACTATAGTTGGCAAGTACTAGAGCTGAATTATGTTGTTACTTTGCTAACATCATGTTTTAAATTGTTCTGATCTGTCTTTAGCCATATTTGAGCAATCAACCTTAACATTTAATACAGTTAATTGAAGGAATTATTGACATTTGTTCATTCATTCATTCATTCATACATAGGCTCAATACAAACATGTTGCTTTTAGAGAGGCTATTTATACACATAATGGTTCCTGTTTATGCTCAACGTAACCTTAAGTTGATAACAACTGATTTTTTAAATATTACATTTTAATCGCGACATGACCTAATATTATGTGTGGAGTAGACGTTACTCATTCTTTGAGTAATGATATTCCTTGGCACGGCTTTCTAGTTTAGATAATTTTGGAGGGTAAATAATTTTAAAGAAGCACCCACGCAAAATCTGTTGTCTACAAACATTATGTATATGTGTAAATATTATATATAAATATATCAATCTGTTACGTTTAACCTTTCAGCTGTGCATTTAAGAATGACAGTGATTACATTTACTTTACATATTCTCAGGAATTTTATACTTATTATCGTTTTAGGGTAAAAGAAGGGCATTTCAGAGCAACGTTATTAAGGTTATATGGCAACTCCGTCGGGTTCCGAGCAAATGTCATAATGGAATTAAAGGTTCTCGGCACCTTGTGTTTGATCCTTTTATTTATTATGAGATTTGTTTAGTAAATGCCCCAGAGTCGGGGAAGGGCAGCTATTTGGCTTATTATCTGAAATTCAATTTGGTAGAAGTCGGTAATGATCTGTTGCATGAACAAGCATAATAAGTTACTGTTGTGATTTCATTCTAACATCAACATCTCGTTTATGGATTCCAAATCGATGGCGAGTAAATAACTTAATTTCATTCATGGCCTCATCATATCTCATGTGTTCTTGCTAGAAGAACATGCTTTATTTACTGGCCTTCTCTTGAAATATGGCCTTTAATACTTTCAGCGTTCACATTTTATACAATAGTTTTATCTCGAAGTTTGCTATTTTTATGGAAATATTATCACCATTTAAAATATTTAAATATATTAATATATTTAAATCACAAAATGTTTTATTACATTTGTTGCCTGATAGATAGTTTACCTGTTTACATTATAATTAAGGATTGTGCACTTTAATTATGAATATTTAAATTAGGTTTGGGGTTGGGTTTTTTACCTCGCGCAATTATGAGTTTAAAATCGATTTTTCCCTTGGCATGGTGTTAATAGTAATGTAGTGAAACGGATTGAAGTATTAAGGATTGTTTATATATGTACAGAGTATATAATAGAACGTTTGTTAAAAAAAAGAAGGTGATGTTGAAAGATATACCGTAACTTTAATATAGATTGTAACTTGTACCTATATATTTTATACCTTAGATGTAAATAAATGTTACTGCCCTCGACCTTTGTTTTTATTCCCTTCTTCTTCCATTTACTATACCTCTTTAGTGTGGCCGCGTGGTTATGATAAAAATGCCCTTTGGCTGTGACACACAGGTGTCGATCTCTGATCCGGTTGTTTATTGAGCCAGCATCATTGAACCAAGTTTACTTATTCTACATGCCTTTGTTTATTTATAACCTGTAACACGACAAAATCAGTTACTTTTATTGTTACTGTGATCGTATGGTATTGTTATCCACCCTGTCCATCCGTCCACACGAAAACTCTACATACATCGACAATTTTTCAGACATAATAGTCAGTAGACCTATATTTGGTGGGGAATGGAGGGTAAAATATTACCGAGGAAATGCAGACACATCCGATCTTTTAATATGTTTGTATTGTAATAAGCAAGCTATCTAGAACAGAATTATGTCTACTTTTCTATTTACTGTTTGCTATTACCGAGAAATACATTTTAAAACCTTGCTTCTTCGTTCAGTGCGTTTATGAAGACGGATATATAAGTAAACACGATGGTATCTGTTATGTTGTTATTATTTTTTTTATATAGCCTTCATGTTTATATATAGATATGTACTATGGGAATAATAACACGTCGCTTCTTTTAAAATCCGTTATTCAGCAAATCTAAATATAAACACCGTGCTCCTGGATCGCTTTAGAACGTGTGCAGTGGCACTTATAGCTCAGTATTTATAACTTCTATATGGCCAACCGAACTACACATTTCCGTATGGTCTGCCAAGTAGACCCTAATGAATTGATGATTTTATATGATATACATAAATATAGAATTTTATAACCGTTATTGCGTTTATTGGTTCGTTTAGTACTCCATAATGAATAATTACAATATTTACACTAATAGACATATCATATGTTTAAATCATTCTCTGCACATACAATAATTTACAAACCTGTTAGCACCAAACAAACTTCTTATAGATATCGTTTAAATAGATACATTATCCTACATTTTTTCAATACTCAAATTTCATATAAAAAAGTTATCAAATTCTCTATATATCAACTTGTAATTATCAGATTAAACAAACAAGAATCAATAGTGTCTAAACTTATGTCGAACCCAAACATTTCAGTTGGTGTAGAACTAGACCGGGAGCCCAGGGGGGTCAACCTAGCTGAAAAGTGTACCAATTTTCTCCTAAATGGTATCAATGTATGTATATCTGGTATCATCAGAATATAAGTCTGTCGGGTTAATGGTGGTGGGTGTGGTATTCCACGACCTAAATGCCATGACCCCCAACTAGGCTAGATTAGCTCAAAAGTGTACCAAATGAAAATCGTACAGCAGTGTACCGTACATCTTCAGGTATTACAAAAACATTCTGACAGACATTTCTAGTGGTGAGGTACACCTGACAGAGCTATGTAATTGCCAGACATTTGTGGTGTTGGAGTATACCTGACAAGAGTTATCTAATATTTAGACCAAAGCTAGGCTAGATTAGCTCAAATCTGTACCACCTAAAACAGCTTTGGTCTGGAAATTAGATAACTCTTGTCAGGGATACTCCATCACTACAAATGTCTGGCAATTACATAGCTCTGTCATGGGTACCCCACCACTAGAAATGTCTGTCAGAGTGTTTTTGTAATACCTGAAGATGTACGGTACATTGCTGTGCGATTTTCATGTGGTACACTTTTGAGCTAATCTAGACTAGTTGGGGGCATGGCATTTTGGGCGGGGAATCCCACACCCACCACCAAAAACCCGGCAGACTTACATTCTGATGATGCCAGATATACATAGATTGATACCATATAGGAAAAAATTGGTACACTTTTCAGCTAGGTTAAACCCCTGGGCTCCCGCTCTAAACACTCATCATAGCTTCTTTAATGCTGGTAGAAATACACATGCCACCGATACATTAGAAATGAATGACAAGCATAATACTCAATCCATAGAAACTATACGATATCAAGGATAATTTGGATTTGACGGCTTTTTAGTTTACTCTCAAAAGAAAATATAAATAATAAAACATTGGAAAACCGACACTATTACAAACATACTTTCTAAAGCGTACCACATTCTCTTATTCACAACGTCATTTTTATAGGCCCCGTCTTCATTAGCTCAGTATAGGAGCAGAACAGTAGGACGTTAAACCCAATTTCATTTATTTATTTCATTTTTATAGGTTGGCAATCAAAAAATACAGGAACGATTGACCGTTCCATGAGAACAGCCCATGCTCCATAACTGTGAATTTTGCTTCCAGGAACGTAAAAGAAACACTGTTTAAAAAGTAGCTAAAAGAATAAATTATGCCTCCCGAAGCATTGGTGACATAACACCTATTATTAATGATAAGTTTTAAAATACAAACATTTAAATACAACGTTTAAATACAAAAATTACGACTGGAAAATGTGCTCCTGTATCCATGTATATTAGATGCCATTTTTATTGTTAAAATGCATCATATTTATAATTGTCCCCCGCCTTTCGAAGAAAGCAGGGGACTATTAAAATGGGTTCGTCTGTCTGTCTGTCTGTCTGTCTGTCTGTCCGTCCGTCCGTCCGGACGTCCGTCTGTCTGTCCGTCACACTTTTTGGGACACAATAACTCTCTTCCTAATTGAGCTAGAATGTTCAAACTTGGTGTATGTGTTTATTAGGTCAATGCCTTGATGGAGTTCGAAGATGAGCATTTTCCGCTTAGGGTAAGCAGAGATAAACAATTTGATTGGTTGATGCTTTGGGACACGATAACTCTCTTCCTAATTGGGCTAGAATGTTCAAACTTGGTGTATGTGTTGATTAGGTCAATGCCTTGATGGAGTTCGAAGATGAGCATTTTCCGCTTAGGGTAAGCAGAGATAAGCAATTTGATTGGTTGATGCTTTGGGACACGATAACTTTTAATTGAGCTAGAATGTTCAAACTTGGTGTATGTGTTTATTAGGTCAATGCCTTGATGGAGTTCGAAGATGAGCATTTTCCGCTTAGGGTAAGCAGAGATAAGCAATTTGATTGGTTGATGCTTTGGGACACGATAACTTTAGTTCTAATTAAGTGAGATTGATGAAACTTGGTGTATAGTTTCATTACAGTAATACCTTGACTAAGTTTGATAATGAGCATTTTCTGCTCAGGGTAAGCAGAGCGATGCGCAATTTGATTGGTCGAGACTTTGGAAGTAAAGATATACTGTTTGATTGTTCAATACTTTGTAAAAGATAATTTGTGATAAATTTATATGTGTCCTCTAATTATTTTCCTATTTCGGCGGGGGACATCAGCCTCACTGTTGGCTTGTTTTCTTGATAAAGAGAAGATAATGCTAGTCGAAACATCACGCAGTATAATAAATAATAAATTGTATTCCATAGAATTGGTGTTGGGGATTTCCAATTCAATTACTAAAAGAGACTCAAATTATTCATCGGATATCAGTATACAGATCGGCCTGACAAAAAACATAATTTGTTTGATGAGGCTAGAGAATCGTTATAAATGGTAGTGGTCCTGTGCATTTCCAATTCAATTAATAAATGTCATTGAAACAATTTCTGTTCAGATATTGACAATGGGTAATATTCTATGATATTGGATTGTAATATTTGAATAATTTCTGGAAATCATTCTGAAAGTTAGGTTTGGTATCTGTATAAATGGATATGATCGATACCATTACAAATTTCTATCTATATATAATAGATAATGAGACATGTAATATTCTTGGAACATGCTCTTCTGACGTATAAATAGGATGCAACATAAACTCAACCAAACACTACGCTTTATTTTATGAAAAAATGGACTATATATCACATAGAACCGTCAAATCATTGATTGGTGATCTTTTAATCAGACGCATCTAGATTTAAAAAAGAACTTGTTAATCTTTGAATTGAGAAACGCACGACTTTAAATCATCGAAAAGATATTATCGGATCCATCTGTTACTATTTCGTGTCTGGAATGAGTAGGAATATCTTCAAATCTAAGTGTTCATGTGGTGTGCATCGTGGTAATGTTAGTAATGTTGTTTATAAGTGCTTAAAATATACACATCGTTTAAATTGCATTGCCATTTATACTTATTGGAATGTGCTCTTCTCACTTGAATGCCACAGTACATGTGAAAGATCGATATATTCAAGTGGGCTATAGAGTAGTGTTTCTGTCATGGTCATCCCTGGCAAGCATTTACCGCATTACAAACGTTAACCACGGAAAAATCTTTAAAACAAACTGATACTAGACCTTACACAGCTCGAGCTTCTCTCCATGACCAGAATCTGTCTACTACTCACTTACATTACAGGGTTAAAGTTTCGGCCTATAAATTCTTTGGGAAATTAAAAATTGTCCAAACCCATAAGTACTTTATTAGTAAAAGGTTAACACGGTTTTGGTGAAGACTAATAAAATTGAATGTTACTTCAAAAAATCGCATCCGTCTTCATTAGCCCTGCCGGTGCAGATAAGTGGGAAGTTAAACCACATTTCATTTCATTTCAAAATCGCCTATGGAACACCCATGAGTTTTTGTATTACACCTTTTCTCTCATTTTGTAGACATTTCAAACAAATTACGATGTCGGGGTGTTTCGATGAATCACGAAACAGACCTTTTGCTGTGTACGCCCAAAATATATAGTAAATATAAGAGTAATAGGTTTAATACCTATATACAGCACATGACATTTTATAACCATTGTTCTTATAATATTCAATTACACAGAATCGTGTAGACCTCATGGCAACATAACATTCTTTATTAAGTCAAGTAAAATCCGAAACAAACAAAAGAAATTCATATAGGGGTATATACATTTGGGTCAATACAAAGGCGTGAAAAAAAAACATTCAGTTGGAGGTCAATTTGTAGTCCTTCCTTTTTGAAACAACTTTTGGGACTTTTTAAAATCATTCTATACAAACTCTACGAGTTCTTAGTTTGGTATACATATACTATTCAAAAAAAGTAGGGGATATTTGATTTTT